TATACTGTATATATATATACTCTTATAAATATCTATTACAATTCCTAGTCAGGGGTATCGTGATGTAGGCCTCTACTGGGCTGGGTCTGTCATGAACAGCATCATCGTTTTCTTACCTGGGAATATTGCTGGCAAGTTTGGTGGCAACGTCAAAGCCTCGTACTTCCTCAATATGCCGTACATCATCTTCCCACTGCTTGGTGCATTCCGGTTTCTAAGAAGCAGAGAACCTGTTGATGTTCCAGAGGAAGAGGTAAGAAGACAGATGTCACAAATATGGTGTGTGGACAGACAGTAATTAGGTCTGTCAATTCCAACTCTGGCTACTTTCTTGATTGTGGAATGGGGGCAGGGTGGGGAAGCAATGCACTTTATTCATGCTGTTTATCTCTACATTGAACTTGTGATCTGCCCCAACAGAGTGGCTGGAGGCCCTGATGCAGGGGGCTATGCATGTGAAGCTACAATCCCCACAGCCCTCCCCCTTCTCCCACTGCCTTCTGGTGCTACCATGGAGTAGAGTATGTAGTAGGCCATATTGTAATAGTGGGAAAATACTGGGCATGGGACATGTCAATACAACTGCCTTATAAAACCAACATTACTGTATTATTATAAATAGATTTATAATTAACTATTTGAAGTTGTAGTGATTTGTGATTTTTAATTCGATCTATTTAAATGAGCAATCTAATACTGTTTATTGAATGTTGTTTTTTCTTTTTCTCAGAAAATCAAAGCCCAGAAGAAGAGTATTTTCCAAAGACCATTTGATCTAATGATGGTGATATACTTACTGATCTCATGTGTCTTCTCTTTCATCAGGATGCTAGTAAGGCAACCCATTCATTCCTTCATTTATTTTCTTAGATTATTTGCTTCTTATGTATTCCAATGGCAAACATACTCCCTTCCATTAAACTTTCACCATTTCCACCTCAATTGACTCCTCCAAATGCTCTAAATTGGCAATCTTAGGCCAACTGACTGTAGCTTAGAAAATTTTGCTAATTAGTAAATTCTGCTGCACCTCTCTGATGGCTGAGCCAGGGCCCAGCCCACGTTAGAAGAAATTTAAACTATAGTGTTTACTTTACCAGGCAGACTTGTTGTTTCATAGACTTACCTCAAATTCCTGGATGTTTCAGAAGCAATGTCATTTTTTCCACCCTTATTCTTTTGCAGGCTGCATTGAACAGTCCAATCCCATTTGCACAAGCATATGTAAAATTTTATGAACCTTATCTTCTGGATCCAGTTATCTATCCTAAGTTACAGGTAAGATTATCCAATTTTAATTTTAGTTATTATTATTATTATTATTATTATTTGGTACATTCATTCTTTATTATTATTATTATTATTATTATTATTATTATTATTATTTTTATTATTATTATTTGTTACATTCATTCTTCAACACCACAGATAGCTACTTTTTGAGTATTATTATTATTGGCTTGTTTCCGATAATAAGTGCTATGTCATAACGTAAAACTGACACAAAAATAAAAGAATTAATGATACGTTAGTTGCCCAGTCTGAACATCTCAGTAGTTACACTTTCGATTAACATACGCCCGACATTATATACGACTGGCTGAACATAACTGTAGCTTTTGGCATTGTAGGAGATAACTCTTTCTGGAATACTTGATTTATAATTTGCTTCCACATGGATGCAGCAGCTATACGAATACAATCATCTCTATTGCAATTTGCATAAAATATGAAATTGAAGTTTAACAATAATTCATAATGATATTTATATAGACATGCACAAGATGAAAAAATTAAAAATAAATACAAACTAATACATACAAATATAACATAAATTACTGGTAAAAATAAAAATTCAATTAAATAAAATGGTCTTCTAAACAGAGCTAAATTACTGTAACCACGCCTGTAAGACATATTATCATAACAAAGACATCAGCAAAATTGAAAATTTGAAGAATCATATCAGTAACCTGAACCTTGTTTTTTTTATTACTAAGACATGTACTGGTATTAGTGAAATTGTAGTCATGTCAAGTATGGATTTATAGTATCTTTATATGCCTCAATGATTATAATTTCATGGAGTCAGCCAAGTTATTAGCATACAGTTCAATTATAACCAATTATCACCAACTAAGTGATCAGACCACAGTATAGCAATTTTCTGTAAAATTTACAGAGCATTATGCCGTGATGTTATTTGCTGGTAAGTGGTAAGACCTTCTGTGAAC